AACTACAAAGTGCAAAGCAGGTGAGTGCCTGCCAACAACCGCTCCCCTCCCCCTCCTCCTTTTTTTTTTTTTTTTTTTTTTTGGTCCGGACATTTTGTACGCCCTGACACCGATCCGGACTGTCCGGGTCCGGTGATATCCGGATCACCTGACAATCCGGACCGGTCCGGACACTGGTCCAGAAGACAGTCCAGAAGTGTTCGGTGTCCAGGTCCGCGGGTACCATGAAAAACAGATAGACTCTTTTTTTTTGAGGCTAATGCAACAAAAATGCTAAGAATAAAAATATAATCAACTACTGTATATTATGCTTTTGCTCTTCACCTGAGTACCACTTTCTGTGAATAATGGGCTTCTATCTGTGATACCCCTTCTGCCTTTTGGGTCTCAAGTCTCAGATTAAGGAGTAATTATGAGTCACTGGACCTGCTTAAGACCTAAGAGCACTTTGGTACTTCCCCAGCCTTGGATCGCACCGCATGACAGCACACAGATTTGAACCGGCACCCTTGGCCTCAAGAGCCAAGCATCGTAACCACTGCACCCATTACACTGTGTTCAAAAGTGGAACCATACCGGTCATTATATCCACCTCACTCCTCCGTGACCGCAGTGTCCATACTCACTCACGCACAACACACACAACACCACACACAGCAGTCTCTCGCACACATGCTCTCTATCCCGCACATGACCCTGAACCACAAGGGGGCCTCTCCCCCAACGGCCACCCACTCCTGGTATGATTTTCAGGCGGGTTATTGGGTTAAGTACAGATCAGTACTTCCACAGCCCTGGGTCCCTCCGCATGACAGGATTCGAACCGGTACCCTTGGCCTCTAGAGCCAAGCGGTGTAACCACTGCAGCCATGAGATGGTGTTCAAATGTGGAATCATGCGGGTCGTGATATCCGCCCCGCCCCTGCATGGCCGCAGTGTCCGTACTCACTCACGCACACACACAACACCACATGTTCGGCTTTTGAGTTGAGCCTGGACTACGAATTCTAGTAGTGACCCCTCCAATCCATTGGAACTGTTGTGGCCAGTTCAGCCCAAGTGGTTTTTGGAAACAGGGTCCACTTTATGTGGTCCTTTTTGACAAGGCCGCTGTGAATTCTCTACTCACCTTTTCCAATATATATCTCTTGCACCTGTCTACTGATTCCTCACTCTCAAAGCTACCTGAGACCCCTGATGAGGCGAGGCTTGTGAGTGGCCAAAAGGCGTAGGGCCTCATCACCACATAGATCCTGACTATGTTTCATGGTTATCTTTTTGCATCTTGCTGAGGAGTTTCACACTATCGCAACAAGTTCATAAATTGCCCGCAAATTCATCAGCTGTCACACCGGGGATCTTTTTTTTCGGTTGCATTCCTGTTTGCCTTCCCTCAACCTTCCGCCTTCTTCTTCTTCTTCTTCTTCTTCCTCTTCTTCCTCTTCTTCCTCCTCCTCTTCCTCCTCTTCCTCCTCCTCTTCTTCTTCTTCTTCTTCTTCTTCTTCTTCTTCTTCTTCTTCTTCTTCTTTACTACAACTACGACTACGACAACAAATACTACGACGACGATGACTATGACTACTACGACCATGACTACTACTACTACTACTACTACTACTACTATTACTATTACTATTACTACTACTGCTACTGCCACTGCTACGACTGCTTTTTTTTTTCTTTTTCTTTTTTTTCCAAAAAACAGATCCTTATGGGCCTGGCTCCATATCCATTCTGGGGAGCGTCAGTCTGGTTCCTATTCCCCCGGCAAGTCATATGAAGCAAGTTACATCAATATACACATGCACGCTCCCTTCCTTCTGGCCGAAGGGTCCCTGAAGGGCCTGAACAGCATTGATTGCTCTACAGATCTGGAGGATTGACTGTCAGCTTGCCTTTCCCTGAACTTCCTCTCAAGCTCCTCTATAGGGGCCTGTCAGATATGCGAGTATTGAAAGAAAACCAGAGAACCTATCTCAGTGACTTGACTCTGGAGACGCATATATCCCTGTAGTCCTGTTGTCCAGCCTGTAAAGAAGCTCGTGTTCTTTGGAGAGCCTCTGAGTTGTGTCATTCCTTCCATCAGATTTGCAGAGCATCAATATCCGCTATCTTTCCGTTGACGAGCCACACCCTCCTGAACTTGGATATCGTTTCTCGTTGCTCCTCCGG